TTCTCATTTAGATCATTAAGGCTAAATATCGCTCTAACGTAAATTGCCCTTTTTACGTCATTCAGCGTTGCCGGTTCTATCGCGAAACTTCGACAGGTCATAACTTCTTCGTTATAACTCGGATTTCGACATTCTTTATATCTTCGGAAACCTTGTTTCAACTACTACAACATTATCTAAAGATATCAAGTTTATTTTAAACTTAAATTTTGACGCTTATTTTTATTCTTAATTAATCAAACCACATAATTAAGCAATTAAGCACAAAACACATAATACTCAAATAATACACTTCTATTATTTCAAAACGGGTTACAAAGGTTAACCTAGACTATTAAATTGCTAAATATGGCAAGCCCAGAAACACAGACGTTACAAAATATATCTTATACTTCTCAAGTCTGCATAATATGTGTCAGTTGCAAGTTTTAGCCAACTAACTTAAGTTCTAAAATAAGAAAACTGGTAGAAATAGCAATGTGCTTATGTGCTATTCCTTTTTTTTTTAAGAATATGGGCAATGTAGCCAACTAACTTAAGTTCTAAAATAAGAAAACTGGTAGAAATAGCAATGTGCTTATGTGCTATTCCTTTTTTTTTTAACAATATGGGCAATGTACTTTAATAATAGCAACATACGTACCAATTTTATCGGACCATTTCTCGATTTGTGCGTGTCATCCTTGCGCAGGGGCCATGCTAATCTTCTCTGTATCGTTCCAATTTTATCGGATGTCCCGAAGGGACGAACAATACTCGAAGGCGAAGCAATATAAACCCAATAGCTTTCGTTGGAGCCAACGATGTGGGAAGCCATGGCGTTGCATTGCTTCAATCAAACAATACTTCTGTATTTGTTTATAAACCCTCATTTTTTTAGTGTTGTCTTGGTTCTACATCAAAGTTGAACACATCGAAGCGATATCAGTCCTCCAATACATTCTAGATAGAACAGACCTAGTTAGAAACAATGACTATTTCGATTTCCAAATAAAAATAGGTAAATTGTTGTTTTGGATTTTAATAAAAATCACCATATTAAAATCATTATAAATTTATTTATTAAAACAACACGGAATGCTATTTTTTTTTAACATGTGATGTTTATTCAAAGTTATTTTAGACAATATTTGACATATTTTATAGCTTACTTGACCAATCATTCTTTTTATTTTATACATGATTCATTAATGAAAAATATAATTTGAATATATTAACCTGATCAAAATTACCAACGTACTAAAATAAATGATTACTCGTTATGACTCACTATCTTTATTTTTGCTATTCAAACTAATTCATTCTTATTATAAAATCACAATACTAGATAACTTAATGAGTTAATAAAATCACAATACTAGATAACTTAATGAGTTCGCATCATTCAAGTTTTCTTTATTTATCTAAAATCCTTCCACTCTTTCAAACTATAATCCTTCCATTATTCTTTGTGGGAGTTAGGCTAGACCCAATGACCTTGTTATCCTCCTTAATAAATGAAGGTTTTTTGCCACATGTCTTCTTCTCCTTTATTTGGACACATGATATTTTCTAGAATTTTTGAATTTTCTATTTTCCACTTGTCATTTTATTGTATTTTTCATTTTATTAAATTAAAATTTCACATTTATAATATAAGGTAATATATATGTAAGGTATTTATTAGAAATGATTTATATATGTAATGTATTCAATGTTTTAAAGGCTCATTAATTTTAATAATTTAAATTTTTTCTCATTTTTTTTATAAATTCAAAATTCTCAAATTGTAAAAATTTCATATTTAATTTTTTTTTTTAAGTAAACCCATGTAATACATGGGTCTCACACCTAGTGCATATTAAAGCAGATACCGATATGAGAATCAAAGGTGACTTGTGGTTCGAACGCTCATAGTGGGCTAATTCATTATAGCCCCTCAACTTAAAAGGAACCTTAAAGCGTCCCTTCAAAATGGTGTGTGTGTGTGTTTTTTTTTTAAGTTTTGGAATGTTTATTATGACAAGTCGTTGATTATGAGAACGGGTATGTCATGTTTTTCGAAAATTATCACTTCCAAAATAAAAGAGTTCTAATGAAATTTGATAAAATGTGAGAAATAGCAACATAAATTTATTTATTTGTTTATTCTAACATCTGAATTTCATTTCATCATGTACAACTTTGTATTTTGGAAAGTCAGCAATGTCAATCAAATACAAGGCAATTCTCATTACAATAATTGGGTAAAAAAATTTAAATATGTTCTAATAAGGAAAAAAGTTGAAAGAACAATGTTATAATTAGATACATTTTTTTTGAGGTAATATGCCTTTAAGAAAGAAAAAAATGAATGTACAACAAAAGAAATGAAACTAGAAAACTATAATAACCAAATAAATGAAAATGTGTTGCTACTTTTTGCATTTAGCTTACGAGATAAATCTCACAGCACTCGTATCATGAGATCATATCCTAAAAATTCAACATTTTGAATATAATTTTAACATCTTCGAAAACAACAAATTACAATCGAAATAACACCTACTTTGATTTATTTGTTTATTATAACACCCTACTCTCATTTCTTCCTATGCATCAATGTACTTTAAAGAATCTATGAAGTATAAGAATTTCAATCAAATAAAAAAACAATGTTCATTTCTAAAATCATGTAGATTTTAAAAAATACAAAGTACAATGTCTTATTGTCTTAATAAGAAAAAAGTTACAAGTTCAATATTGTAGTAAGAAGTAATGAAACTAGGATGCTAAAAAAGCCAATAAATGAAACTACTTTGTTGTTTCTTACATTTAGCCAAAAGGTAATCTGAAATAAGAGATGAAGCCAATAGCACAAGATCATAGAGAAAACATAAGACCTCTAAGAATACAATTTTAACATGTTTGAAAACAACCTACTTTCATTTATTTATTTATTATAGCATTGTATTTTAAAAACTTTTCTAATTATAACGATATTTTTTTTAAAAAACAATACTTCTGTATTTGTTTATAAACCCTCATTTTTAGTGTCCTCTTGGTTCTACATCAAAGTTGAACACATCGAAGCGATATCAATCCTCGAATACATTCTAGATAGAACGGACCTCATATGAAACAATGACTATTTTGATTTCCAAATAAAAATAGGTAAATTGTTGTTTTGGATTTTAATAAAAATCACCATATGAAAATCATTATAAATTTTATTTATGAAAACAAAAAAAATGCTATTTTTTTAGCAAACTGATATATGATGTGTATTCAAAGTTATTTTAGACAATATTTGTCATTTGACATATTTTATAGCTTACTTGTACATGCAATTCATTAATGAAAAATATGATTTGAATGAATTAACCTTTAAATAAATTGATCAAAATTACCGACGTACTAAAATAAATGATTACTCGTTATGACTTATTATCTTTGTTTTCCCTATTCAAAATAAATCGTTCTTATTATAAAATCACAATGCAAGATAATTTAATGAGTCGGCATCATTCAAGTTTTCTTTATTTATCAAAACTCTTCCATTCTTCCAAACTATAATCCTTCCATTCTTCCTTGTGGGAGTTATGCTAGACCCAAGGACCTTGTTATGCATACTAAAGCAGATACCGATATGAGAATCGAAGGTGACTTGTGGTTCGGACGCTTATAGTGGGCTAATTCATTATAGCCCCTTAAAAGAAGCCTTAAAGCGTCCATTCAAAAAAGGTGCGAGTGGGTGTTGTTTGTTTTTTTTGGAATGTTTATTATTATAAGTCGACAATTATGAGAACGGGATGTCATGTTTTTTGAAAATTATCACTTCTAAAATAAAAGAGTTCCAATGAAATGTGATCAAATGCGAGAGATAGCAACATAAATTTATTTATTTGTTTATTCTGACATCCGACTTTCATTTTATTGTGTACAAGGTTGCATGGAAAGTCACAATGTCAATCAAATACAAGGTAATTTTCATTACTATAATTGGGTAAAAAAATTAATATGTCCTAATAAGGAAAAAAGTTGAAAGAGTTAGGATACATTTTTTGAGGTAATAGGCCTTTAAGAAAGAAAAAATGAAAGTACAACAAAAGAAATGAAATTAGAAAACTATAATAAACAAATAAATGAAAATGTGTTGCTACTTTTTGCATTTAGCTTATGAGATAAATCTCACTACACTCATATCAAGAGATCATATCCTAAACATTTGACATTTAAGAATATAATTTTAACATCTTTGAAAACAACAAATTATAATCAAAAGGACACCTACTTTGATTTATTTGTTTATTATAACACCCTACTCTCATTTCTTCCTATGCATCAATGTACTTTAAAGAATCTATGAAGTATAACAATTTCAATCAAATAAAAAACAATGTTCATTTCTAAAATCATGTAGATTTTAAAAAATACAAAGTACAATGTCTTATTGTCTTAATAAGAAAAAAGTTACAAGTTCCATATTGTAGTAAGAAGTAATGAAGCTAGGACGCTAAAAAGCCAATAAATGAAACTACTTTGTTGTTTCTTACATTTAACCCAAAAGGTAATCTGAAATAAGAGATGAGGCCAATAGCATAAGATCATAGAGAAAACATAAGACCTCTAGAAATACAATTTTAACATGTTTGAAAACAACCTACTTTCATTTATTTATTTATTATAGCATTGTATTTTAAAAACTTTTCTAATTATAACGATGTTTTTTTTTTCTAATTATAACAATGTTATCTAAATATAAAACAATTTTTTATTTATGTTAACCGGTACCTTTGTCGAAACATAATATTCTAATAAGAAAACATGTTGCTCTTCTAAAGTAAAGTTAGTGAGGGCAATAAGGTCATTTTCTGATAGATGAGTTAGGTCAATGCTAGTAGCCTAGGTGATATATCCTTGAACTAATCTTTTCCTTTTTCCAGTTCAATCATTCAATTCATGTTCTATCATATCAGTTCAGATTTAGTTTTAGTTTTAGTATAAAAGTAAAAACGTTGAGATGGAGTATTACAAGCAAATCAATATTCGTCATCATATTCTTCATCGGATGTATCGCTATCGCTATCGCTATCGACCTGTTGCTCCTTATGATAATTTGGCGGGAAGCGAAGGGAACGTACAGCCAGATTATGCATATTCAAGCAGAAGGCAATTCTAGAATTGAAAGCAATTTTTGGTTCGTTTGTTGAATAGATGTCTCTTGTTTCCTTAGAAATCATCCATCCGTTTGCATGATCCAACATGGCATCGATGGCACCATCACGGATGGCTTTTGACACGATGCTCTCAGCATCTGCAATTGGGTTTGGGGAGTCCAAACGGAGCTTGGTTGCCACGTCAGCAAGAGAGATACGCGAGTATGCGATGCTGATGTGGCGGAGTCTGTTTCTTATGACGTTGTGACGGAGTCTTACAATTAAGTTGTTAGTTCGGTCGGAGGTGAAAGTGGTGGAGAATTTCTCGGCGACAGTTTTCAATAGGTCCAGATCTCCAATTCTAACCGCCTGAGAAAGAAAGGAAGGAATTAGAGATTCCGTTCCATGACATGTTCGGTTGCCAAATGAACAAAATCTAGTTTTGTGAATTTCCATGTTTGATGGATTTTACCATTCAAAGTCAAAGTCAAAAGTCAGAATTGAGATAGTTAGTTAGTTAGTTAGTTACAACTGAACTGGGGGTTATTGTAATTGAAGTGAACTTACATTTGTGAGGTCAAAGTAAGGCCTCAATGCATTCTTCATGCCTTTCTGCTTAAAAAGGGTTCGTTCAGGAATCTCTCCAAGAAGTAGACGAACAATGATGGCCCACTTGTTGCATTGGACCCGGAAACCAAGGGATCTCTCCACAGGGGCTTTTCGGGCAGCTTGGAGAAGAGATTCCTTTGCATCTGTGTATTCTAACTGAATCGTTCTAATTTTACCCAGGTAAAACAGGTAACGACAAAACTGTAAAAAATTACAAATATCGAATATAAAATAATGAAATGCTCCTGTAGTCCTGTATATCAAATATCGAACCCTCCATATGAAGCAAATATCAAACCTTTTAACAAATGGAACCTTTCAAAAGGATGAATTGATGATTTATCAAATGAAGAATTACCTGGCGATTTGAATGACCTTCAAAAGGTGGTGCCTTTGATCTAAACTTCTCTGCTTGATCATACAAATTGTAATGAAGGTAATTGTGAAGTATCAAGTTTAGGAGTCTTTCCTGCACATCACACAACACAAAATGATTCACCAGAAACACTGATTATAATAATATTACTAATAATACAAATAACAATAACAAATAAATATACTAATAATAATGATAGCTAGTCACAGGAGAAACAAACCTGCCCCAATTCATCATGATGCAACCTAGCAACCCGGTGCAAAACAAGGAGATTACTGCATGTAATTAAACATCATCATCATCATCTTATTCAAGCCAGATAAATTGATAAAGTATGATTGGTCACAATCTAGTTGATAATTGAAAAACATAACCCTTTTGTCACTCACCCACGAATTTCAGAGAGACTGTTGCTAAGTTCATGAGAAAGAGAGTAATAGAAGTAAAGTCTGGATGCCAGAACATCAACTGTTCTGCTGTTCAGGTTTTTCAAACTGGCAATGCCTGCTGAAGAACAAGCCTTAGCCTGCATAATATGAAGGTGAGTTGACCAATTGACCAATTGCCAAGATGAAGTAATCTAGCCACATACGCTCACCTCAGTGTACTTTTTCTGATCAATTAGGAATATCAGCACAAGGAAGTAACAGTAGATCTCCATCTCATGGGAGTGATTAACAGTACCTTGAGTTGCAGAAGATGCAGTATCAACTTCCATCTCATGATCATCATCCTAAAATATATCAAACCAAATGAAAATGTTTATGTCATTCAGATCATTTTGTTTTCAATTTCACCAACAAATATTTGAAGTCAAGTTCCACATTACTATGGGCTGTACATTCGAAATATATAACATAGTGTCAAGGAACTTCACGAAAGAGATGCTTAATTATGTGCCTCTCAGCTTTTTCCATGTTTTCTATATTTGGAAGTTTATTAAACATCGAGATTCACGAAGCCAAAAAGTAACCTACCTTTGGAAGAGATGAAATTAAACGAGAGTGTGCTTCCGATCCAGTTGTAAGGGCAAAATTAAGGAACGGATAGATCACACAAACTTTTAACCGCCATCTTAACGCGATTGTAATGCTAACGGCTCTCAAAATCCAACGAACTTTACCAGTGTAAGCTCCGCCCTCAATCAGTTCAACAACTCTTTTTTTAAAATCTGAAAGCCAATTTTCACATGATTTCCATGAAGAATTCGAAATTTCAACTCCAATCAGTAAATAAAAACAAACGATGTTGGTAGAGTAAACGCACACATTTTATAACATCAATTGTTCCACAACAAAGAAATTAAATCAAGTTCATCTATAAACGAACTGTATAATCAAACAAAACAATCATCGGAATCAAAATTACAGAGATTCTTACGCTGTAAAATGCCATGAGACATAGATGAAAGAGAGCTAGAAGGCGACGTCGGAACCTTTTGGTCTTTCATTCCAGCATCTTGCGTCATTTTTCGAGTGAACTGCAACAGAATCACACCATACAGAATCGACAATCACAAATACAAAACAATAAAATTCTGTTCAGTCATGAATCTAAATTTCTAAGTGAAATCAATCGATAACAATGCTTAATTTGAAAACTTTGGATGGATCAATCGACTGAATGGTACTTTGGCGGGCCAAATGTTAAGTATTTAGTTCCATTTTGAAATAGATCACTTAGATACTATCCAATACAGAAAACGTCAGTTTCAACCCTCTTGGTATAACAAGCTATCAGGTTCAGTCCATACAGCTTTGGTGTATATAACTGGAGGGGATTTTTTTGGGATATTCATCAAAATAAACACTTTCTCTAATTGCAGATAGCAATCCGACCATTCTTTTGAGAAGTTTTTAAAATAAACATCATCTTCAAAACTTAGTTTTGAAATAGTTTTTTTAATGAAAAGTATATATCAAAACTCTACAAACAATAATATTCAGGTACAATATTAGTATATAAACCATGATGTCAAAATTTGAAAATACTTAACTAAAACTAGTACACTAGCGAAGTCAACTCATCGTATAATAACATAGATTTCATAAATTCAGATATCAAAGCACAAGGACAATGTAACACCCTTATTTAGACTTAGAAAAGTTTTTTTTTTGGCTATCGTAGTTATGGACGGACGCAGGATTTTATAGTAGGGGTTGCATGGTAGTAGAAAAAATTAATTTTTCTAAAATTTTTGAAAATTTTTCCACTACAGCCGGAAAAGTTAGGGGTTGCCGGTGCCACCGTGAACCAACCCTAGGTCCGCCCCGATTGTAATAAAAAAAAGTTAATTAATTAAATGAAATAAAATTTAGTTAATTAAATAATAATGATAATATTGGTTATAAGATTATTGGAGTCAAATTTGAAAAATTATTGAATTATTATAGTTGTCAATTTGTGAAAGTTAGGATTTGACATATAAGACCATTTAGGACATGAATGTTACGAAATTGATAGAAAAAGGTTAGATATGAAAATTCATACTTGCTAGTCAATAACAAGTGGATATGGTGTAAAAAGGTGAGAGAGATGATAATGTGGCTATAACATGCAACGAGCATGGAAGGTGCATTTTGTTTTTCTAAAAAAAAAACATATTCAAACCACTTCATGCTATGCGGTTAGGGGTGAGCATAAGCGGGTACCCGATGCTCACCCATATAACCGGAACATGCAGTTCTGGTTTCGAAACCGGTGGTTCCATGGTAGATTCGGTTCCTAAAGCGGGTACTTGGTTCCGATGCTCACTCATATACGCGGTGCAATACATGTGCAACACTTTTTCTCTCGTAGCAGTTTGTTTTTTAGAAGATTTCATATTACAAAACATCTGTGTGTGATGTGAATTGCAACAGTTGACTTGCATCTTCAAACCTCTTTAGCTTTCATTTTTTTCAATTTTTTTTTAGAATTTTGGTATAACTTATTTTTTTTTTAAAACTTTTTTTTAACTTTGATTTTTTAACTTTTATTTACGAATTTGATACAATTCATTTTTATAGTTTCCACATTTTTTTTAACTTGATTTTTTTATTTTTTTTATATCGTTTTTGTTAATAATATTTTCAGTTTTAGTTGCATCTTTTTTAACGTGTGTAATTTTTTACGAACTTTGTAGACATCGTTTGCAATACTTTCTTAAATTTTTATTATTATTATTTTTTTTTATGTTTTCTAAAATTAGTTTTTTTTTTCTATATAATGCTCCCGCATCTCATCCTCCGGCACCCAATTCCACTCAGATCCCCTTCGGTGTTCCCACTCTACCTTTACCAAAGGTATCTTCTTGTTATGCAGTATCTTCACCTTCCTTTCCAGCATAACCACCAGTCTCTCTACGTAGTTTAGGCACTCATCGACCTGAATATCATCTAATGTCACCACTGCCTCCTTATCTAGTACGCACTTTTGCAACTGCGAAACATGGAATGTGTTATGGATCTGACCGAGCTCCTCCGGGAGATCCAGTCTATACGTCACCTTTCCAACCTTGGCAATAATCCTGAATGACCTAATGTATCGGGGACCCAACTTTCCCCTCTTCGTGAAGTGAATCACACCCTTCCAGGGTGAGACCTTCAGTAGTACCATATCACCAACCTGAAACTCCAACTCAGATCGGCACCGGTCAACATAACTCTTTTGTCGCATCTGAGCAGTCAGCAAACGCTGCCTGATCTACTAAATCATCTATGTGGTCTGTAGTACCACCTCAGTCCGACCCATTACCCTATGGCCAACCTCGCCCCAACAGACTGGAGTACGACATCTTCGGCCATACAACAGCTCAAATAACAGAGCACCAATGCCGGAATGAAAGTTATTGTTGTAGGAGAGCTATGAAAGGGGTAGGTAGGAGTTCTAGCTACCACCGAAATCGATAACACATGCTCGTAACATGTCCTCGAGGTTCTATATGGTCCGCTCGCTCTGGACGTCTATCTGCAGTTGATAAGTTGTGCTGAAATGCAGCCACGTGCCTAGTTCCTTGTGGAACTTCTGCCAGAAACGGGAGGTGAACCGCACATCATGTTCTGAAACGATAGAGACTGAAACCCCATGGCGAGCAACAATCTCACGGATATACACATCAGTCAACTTCTCGGCCGATGAGCTCTTCCGAATGGGCAAGAAATGGGCAATCTTGGTCAATCGATCCACGATGACCCACATAGCATCGAAATCCTTTACCGTTCTCGGTAATTTGGTGATGAAGTCCATCGTGATCTGCTCCCATTTCAACATGGGAACCTCTAGAGGTTGTAGCTTTCCATGCGGGCTCTGATGCTCAACCTTGACCATCCTGCAGGTCAAGCACTCTCGACGTACCAAGCGATTTCTCGCTTCATTAGCCACCAGTAACTCAGTCTCAGATCCCGGTACATCTTCGTGGCCCCCTGATGAATAGAGAAGCGAGACTTATGAGCTTCCTCCAGTACAATCTGTGTGGCTCTTCCAGACATCGGAACCCATACCGACTGCAATGGGTCAACAATCTGCGACTATCCTGTACGAATCTGTTGATCTCTCCCCTGGTCCTCTCCAACTTCTAGTTCTCCTGTCGTACACCCTCGGCCTGAGCTTCCCTGATCAGGCTCACCAGTGGAGACTCCACATATATCCTCATGTACGATGATGGAACACAATATCCATCCGACTTGCGGCTCAAGGCATCCCCCACAACATTCGCTTTACCCGAATGGTAAAGGATCTTGCAGTCATATTCGTTTACTACGTCCAGCCACCTGCGCTGCCTCATGTTCAGGTTCGGTTAATCTGTGATATGTTTCAAACTCTTGTTGTCCGTGTAGATAGTAAAGCAGACCCCATCGAGGTAATGCCTCAAAATCTTGAGAGCGAATACCACCGCTCCCAACTCCAGATCATGTCTGAGGTATCGCGTCTCATGCAGCTTCAGCTGCCATGAAGCATACGCTATCACCCACCCCCTCTGCATGAGATCTGCTCCAAGTCTGGTGATCGATGCATCACAGAACACCATGAAATCCTCAACTCCCTCGGGAAGAGTCAAGACTGGAGCCTCGCATAGTCTCTGGCGCAGAGTCTCGAATGCAGTCTTTGTTAGATTAGGTGTCTAAGCCCATAAATATTATTGGTATGTACTTCATTTGATATGTAGCATGGTCCTTTTGAGTTGCCTTCACTCATGCAACTTGATCGGATGACAAGTGGAGAGAGAGTAGGATTTATTGGTACTCAGAATGATTTTATTAATATATTATAAGATTAATATATTATTTGGAAATCATATTATTAATTAATAATTAATCATAAATTGATTTAATATTACTTTTAGGATTAAAAGGAACTGATTAATAATGGAGGCACTGTTCTGCAAATCATTGATAGTTGCAGAACTGAGTTGATGGACTCCATAGAGTGGAATGGATGAAATATATGGGTAATATTTCGTCCAAGGGCTCTAAAGAGGGGGTCCATGGGCTGGTTGGTGCCTAAGCAAGGTATTAGGGTTTCCACCTGAAAACCCTAGCAGCCACAACTGTATAAAGAACCCTTGTATATGGAATTTTTGCCCCTAAGCTTAAGAAACCCTAGGATAGCCGATTTGCCACCTCTCTCCCAGTCATCCTTTGCACTGGGTGTTTTTGACTCCATTATAGGTGCAACACTTGAGGCACTAAGCTTTCAAGAGTCAATGTGTTTCTTGTTATTGCTACATAACAAGTGAGGTAATGATCAAACCCTAATTTTATATATGAATTTCGAAATGTATACACTAGATCTAGGGTTATTGCTTTGGTTTTCATATTTGTATGTTCAATATTTGTATGTTCAATAGAGGAAAACTTAGATCCAAAGCAATTAGGGTTGCATGATCACATAGGAATGTAGATATGCTCAAAACCCATTAGTGGTATCAGAGCCAAGTTGTTTTTCAATTGAATTGGTGCAAGAGTGAATTGTTCAAAGAACAAGAAAACCGATTTTTTGTTGTCTGCAACATGAACTCGACGAGTTTAATGTAGGACTCGACGAGTTGGGTGAACTCGATGAGTTTAGAGCCCAACTAGACGAGTTGACTCGCCAGATACCTAAAATTTCAATTTTCTAATCAGATTTTGAATTGGATAATTACCATAACTCATTTTTATTGCCTAAAATTGATTTTTCTGAATGGTAATTTGATATCTTTATCAAAATTAAAGGATTTGGTTAAATATCGATAAGATAATCTATATTTGGATAAAGATAATGTTATTTTTAATTTAACCTAGTATTTTAAAAAGTTTCAATAGTGCACCCTTTGGTTTTCTATTTTAAAATTTGATTAAATAACTTTAATTTTGAAATCTTAAATTTAGAACATTGGTATTTTGAATAGTTTAAAATACACCCTCATGGATTTTATTAATAAGATTAATTAAGTGTTTAACTAAAAGAGAATTAATAAATCCATAATATGGTTTAAATTTAATTAAATTAAAAGATTAATTTATTAAAGGACTAAACCACTTAGTATTTTAAAAGGTTTAAAATACACCCTTTTACTATATAAAATTAAAAGTTTAATTTATTATATACGCTTAAGAAAAGGCCAATATTATCGTTAGTAGACCTCATTCACGAAGCTGGTCTATAGGGGGTGTTTAAGGAAGTGGCATGTAAAATGACCACCATTGCAATTGGATTACGGCATCCGTTTTCCGAATTGTAAATTATTGTGTTGGGTCCTAGCCTTAATATTTTATTTGGATGTTATATTAAGGATTAAATCAACTCACTTGAATTTTAACCTTTGTAGATGTCTAGTTCTAACAACTATGGTCTTCATTATCTTTTTGGAAAAAGTTTTTCACTTGAAGATGATCTTCCACCTGTCGATCGAGGTGAAAGATCATTCCCTTCTTCATGCATTTTGGTTATATAAAAGTTTCCTTAGAAAAAACAAAGAGTTCTTTGTTATAATATTTGATATGTTGTGTATAAACAAGCCATTTGGAAATTTGTTTTATGTTTGGTTGATATTTATTTATTCATAAGATGTAATAGATAAATAGGTAAATTTTCAGTTGTTGATTTGTTGTAATAAATTAGTTAGACTAGGTGTATTTCCTTTAAATGTAACAAGATGAAGAAATTACCATCTCGTAGACCTTTTGAAGTGTTCCTTAAGTCCTTTAGGAAAGACTTCATAATTCTTGTGATGACTTACAAAAATTATTACCAGACATGGCTTGGTTTATACACATTATAATGCATGCTTGTGATGCTTATTTTATGTTAAATATATGTTATGTTTTATGTATAAAAATGGTTGTTACATGTCAAATAACATTTTTTTCATAATATAATATCACTTGGAGTTTGAGTAAAAGAGTATTTAAAAGGTAACATAAGATCTTTACAAATGGATATTTATAAAAACGTTTTACCAGTTACTAGTTAAACTCAATTTTTGTTGAAAATAGTTTTATTGTAAAACTTATATATACAAAACTTTAAAATATTTGAAATGGTTTAAAAGATGTTTAAACTTTCTATAAACTTCATGTTTTTATAATAAATAAAGAGTTTTTATTAAAAAGACTAAAATCGATTTATAGTGTTATAACGACAAATAATAAAACTAGTGATTATTTTTTGCGTCGAAACATAATAGATGATATTGGTGTTTTAAACATAATGTAACATGTTGATATTATGTTTTATGCATGCTAAATGAGATTTAAAACATAAGTATCATCACCCAAGTTTTGGTTTATCAAAATATGACTTTTATCATAAGATGTATAAAATTGAGTTTATAAAATAAAAAGAGTTTATTCTATAATTCTT